AATATTAATGATACTACGTTTGATATCGTATTTAATTTCTCTATATTATTATCCTTGGTTTTGGCTTTGTATGTTTGAATTCCTCATAATAATTATGTTTATTCTCTACGTCTCTACACTACCTTCCGCTCGAAAGCTTAAAATTGATTGAGAAAAATTTTGCTCTTAAGAGTATATAGGGGGTGGATCCGTGACACCATATTTTTGACACAAGTTTTGACACAATTTTTGGGCCATTAGATTACTCCACTTTTAATGGTTGAGATTAAACCTGAAATGGCAAAACAATATTTTTTCTTTAATTAATATTTATACATTGGAATTAAAATTCTGATACCATATTAATTAAGAATTCATTCTCTCTCATCTCATTAATTATGGGATACAAATCCCCTTCAGTTCTTACTCCAACAAGATGGTAACGAAAAGGCCATGTGTTCTGCAGGAATAGAGGGCGATTCTGATGAACCCTCAAGCATGTGTGGCAATTTTTGATATTATAGCTGGTGACCATATCTAAACACCCGTACACATCCACAAACACTTGTGCACATGGCTCTTGAAATGAAAGATATACAAGAACCCAAAAATTCAGACGGCATTGCTATTCCGAGCTACTCTCTGAGCTTCTTCCAAATCTTTCAAGAATCTGTTTTTCCTAGCCAAACAATAATTGGAGCGGAGCATCTCATATTAAACAATTTCAATAAGCTACAGTAATTCACTAGAATAGCCTCAAACAATTACAACATATAATTGAAAACCTCCAACAGTCGATGCATAAATACTTGTACCAAAATCTCTTAAGCATCTATCTACCAAGCACAACCTCCCATTGTCCAGGATTGTTCAGGTGAGTGGATATGCTTAATTATCATGTTCAGAGAGAGAGAGAGAGAGAGATTAGATTACCAAGAAAAAAGGGATATTACCAAGAAGAGAGATTATATTATTTTGTCATGTTAGGTTTAATCTCAACCATTAAAAGTAAAGTAATTTAATGGCCCAAAAATTGTGTCAAAACTTGTGTAAAAAATATGGTGCCACGGATCCGCATATATATATATATAGTCCTGATTTCTTGGACCACAGGAGTCCAAGAAATTGTGGTCATCTACCGTTGGATATTAATCCAATGGTTCAAAAAAGTTTCTTAAAAGGAGTGCAAGAGTGAGTGAACCGTTGAATTTACATCCAACGGTGAGTGACCACAAATCTCTTGGACCCCCGTGGTCCAAGAGATCGGGACTATATATATATATCATTGGGTAAATTGATATTATGTACAAGTTCAAGGGGCAATTCAGCAAAATACCCCTAATTTATTCATTCATATTTTTTTTGTTCAGAAATCAGGAGACCTTTTTTAAAAATTTTAAAAAAAAATTCATTCTTTTTCCACGTGCTTTTCAGCAGAGATTGGATCGATGGTCTGAGCCCAATCCAACAGCCAGTTGATCTCGGGGCGTTGCCAGATCCCCTTAATGGATCCAACGGCAACAGACGCCGTATGAGATCAACTAAAGTTGATCTAACGGTGTTTACAGGTTCCCATAAGAATTAGGGTAAGGTCGCATGCATCAGATGCGAAGTTTTGCCGCTTTAAGACTGCTTTGCTTCACTTCATCGTCTTCGTCTCGGAGTAGCCTACCTTTTCCGAAACCCATTTCCCCAATTTTTACTAAATTCTTACCTAAAAAAAATCCATTACCCTCAATTGTTACAAAACCCCCGAATTGGAAAATGGCTCAGAGTCCAACAACAGATGCTGAGCTCCAGCATCTGTATAATGTCCTCAAAAGGCTCGCAGAATTTGAAGACTACTTCGGTGAATTGAAGAGCATGAACTGGACGGATGACGAAGGTAATGCCTTGAACAGAGCGTTGGGTTCTACTTCTGAGGCAAAGACTATTTTGTGGAAACGCTTCTTTCAGATCTTTTCTCCAATTTTGAAAAAGAATAAAATTGGGACCATTCCTGCGTTGGAAGAAGCAATTTCTGCCCAAGATTGGCACATAATCAACTTTCTTGGAGAATACGCTACTTCTACCTCCTCTGTTCTGGTCAATGGGGCCACTTCTAACTCCTCTGCTTTGGTCAATGCAACATCCACATTCGCTCCTCCATACACATTCAGTCCACCATTCACTCCTCCATCAACATGCAATCCTCCGTCCATCAAACGAAGATGTTTCGAAACCGCCCAAAAATGGCTGATTGGCAGAGGGTCCGTTTTCGCCAAACTGGGGACTTCGGTTGTTGACCTGATTCTCATGGTTTGGCTTGCAAAGGTCATGTGGAATCCGAGGAGGATTAAAGAAAAGAGTAGCAAAGCTACAAATAACAGTGGCATATCAAATGCGAGCAATGTCAGTGCCAATGACAGCACCAAGCGAGACGACAAACAGAGAGAGGATGAAAATATACTTGGTGATATTTCTTTCCAATCTTTTTCTTGTTCTTGTTTTTGTAATTTTTCTGGGATAAATCTAATTTTGTTTTTGTTTTAATCTTGGAAAAGCCACAAGGATCGCTGCCATGGGCCTAGAACAAATTTTGGAAGAGTCTGTTCATATTGGCTCCTTCCCGTAAAGGTTAGTACTTACTATGCTAATTGCCTTTAAATTATGTTATGAGCTTTGTAATAGTAGGAACCCAATTGGTAATTTTTATGTTTTTCTGTTTGGTTAGCATCAGCTACAAGACTTACAAAGTTCATTGCCTGGAAGTTTTGGCCATTTCTATACAATAATGTTTAGAACTTGGCATTTGATAATAGTTAGGGAGATTTTGTTATCCTTTATTTGTTTTTCGTATTTGGAATTGTATATAAGTCAATTGGTAACTTTCCTTTGTTCATTTGATTGGCATTTACTTGGAGATAGCATTCACGCATGCTAGATGTGTTTTCGAATATCTGCTTTCTTATGGTATTCTTTTAGATAAAAGACCCTGCAATTATTAACCCTTTTTTTCTCCTGAAAATGATCCCTGCATATGGGTTTTCCAGAACCTGGAGGTTCTGGGCTTTGTTGGAATGTTAACTTATCACTGGAGGTTCTGGGCTTTGTTAGATAGCTTTTGTGAAAGTGAAAGTACCCTACACCTACAATGCATCTTTGGTTGTTGTTTTCAAACTAATTTTTTTGTGTGTGAATTACTCAGGGCTATTGACTCGGGAAAGCATTTTTTTCAGTAGATAGATAAGAGTTGAGGCAGTTTAGTATGATGTTTACAACTTTGCAGTTTGACATATGCAAGTCTAAAGGACAGGTATGACTCTTATTCTAACTTTCCAACTTTGTTCTTCAGCTTTCCATGCATGATTAATTGAATTTGTAAACTTGCAATTTTGTTGTAGTTTAAATTTCAGAAATTTTTATGATATATTTGCAATATACAACAGATGGGTTTGGGATTAATCTGTTACAAAAAAAGTTCACATTTTGATTTTACAATGCTTTTTGCCAAATTTTTCTTCAGCAGGATAACTGAAACAGATGTGATTGCTTATTCAATTCAAGTGGTAGCATTCCAGAACCTGGAGGTTCTGGGCTTTGTTGGAATGTTAACTTATCACTGGAGGTTCTGGGCTTTGTTAGATAGCTTTTGTGAAAGTGAAAGTACCCTACACCTACAATGCATCTTTGGTTGTTGTTTTCAAACTAATTTTTTTGTGTGTGAATTACTCAGGGCTATTGACTCGGGAAAGCATTTTTTTCAGTAGATAGATAAGAGTTGAGGCAGTTTAGTATGATGTTTACAACTTTGCAGTTTGACATATGCAAGTCTAAAGGACAGGTATGACTCTTATTCTAACTTTCCAACTTTGTTCTTCAGCTTTCCATGCATGATTAATTGAATTTGTAAACTTGCAATTTTGTTGTAGTTTAAATTTCAGAATTTTTTATGATATATTTGCAATATACAACAGATGGGTTTGGGATTAATCTGTTACAAAATAAGTCCACATTTTGATTTTACAATGCTTTTTGCCAAATTTTTCTTCAGCAGGATACCTTAAACAGATGTGATTGCTTATTCAATTCAAGTGGTAGCATTGCTCAAAAGAAAGGACGGACTTTTAATTTTGCAGGGGACCATTCCGATGCTGCAGAATTACTAAGTACTGTTAATTCCTGTAGCTGAATGTACTTGCAGACTAGTATGGTTTATCTACTTTGACTGTTTTGCATGTAAATGACATTTAAATTTCAAGCTGGTACATGTTCACCTGGTCCTCTATCTTCTTCCTGGGTGCTACCGATGCCTTTATGTTGTGCGTCGAATCGACTCGAGTATATTTTTCAGCCATTATGTTATGCCTTTATTTTGTACATTCCTTGATTTGCATGGAAATTCTCTCTTCTTGTCCCTCTGAGATGCCATCAGTCATGTATTTTAAAAAAGTGAAATGATTTTTCTGTTTTTTTAGGGTTGAGAGAAGCTGGTGGGTGGGAGTACTTTTATGAGTTCTGATTTATTCTGATAGATGAATCAAACTTAATCTTTATCCTATTTTAATTTATAAATGGGTCACAAGCAATGGAAAATAAAAGTAACAAACCAATTCTAACAATTTGTTAAATATTCTTTATAAAGAAATCCAATTTGACTTATACACCATTTTTGTTAACAAAATAGTCACATCTGCTCAACCAGTTGAGAGTGGGGTAAGTATACAAAGGGTAGGTGGTGTGGCTCATCCAATCCATTGCTTTCTCATAGCATAGCGACCAAGCAGGCATATTAATGAATTAATATTGAAACCTGTCATCACCAGTCGACTAACTTGTTGATATTATCTGATACGTATTTCCTGCAATGTTACTTCACATTCCATTTGCATCCTATTGCGGATGCTACTATTATGAGTTGAGAGACTATAAATTAAGAAGAGGGGAGAGAGAGAGAGAGAGAGAGAGAGAGAGAGAGAGGCTATCACAAAATAATTTTTTTTAATTAACAGAAATAGGATTAGAGATTTGAACTTACTAAAAATTAATTGGTCAATAACATTAAAGTTGACTATCTAAACACATTGTTTCGGTAGTGCAATCAATGTGGACTGTTCTTAGATATTTTGTTTTATGAACACCTATTTAATAACACATTCTAAAGACTACCTGTATTGAATGTATTATGTATATTTGGTAGTGAATGAAAAAATAATAATAATTAAACAGAGCTTGTTTTCCTGCACACGTGGCGCGACCTGATACAGGCATCGTGAAATTTCCATGAGACTGCCTGTTAAACTGTCACTCGCGTCACTGCCCCAGAACTCCTCTCAAATCCAAAAGCTCCAAACTTTGTTTTCTGGTTGCTGAGTGACCCAAAAACCCGGAGCTTTTAAATCTTAACCAAAATTTCCTCTTTAACCTTATCCACCTTCCTTCAATTGCACTCAAGGTTCACCATTTCACAATCCAAACCCACCGGACTCTGATCACCAACAACATTAACGTCTCACCACAATTTCCATGCTATCAAAAATCAAACACCCCGACTTCCCCAACCACCCGTCTACAGCTCCATTCGATTTTCTGCATCAAATCGGTCCAACCCAATAGTTCATCTGTGAAAAAGATCATTGCTTTACATTGTTGTACAGTCTAATTGACCATGGTGTGGACCTTACCACTAGGGCGGTTCCACCACCAAAGGCTGGACTTGAAGCGCTGGTTCCTGACCTTCTTGTCCTCGCACAAAACCCTCTTCACTGTGCTTTGGATCGCGGCATTCGCATCGGTTTTTGTGTGGCAGAGGAATATTGTAGATGGGTTTTCAATATTTAAGCGAGTTCCGGTGAGAGCCATGCCAAAGCTGAGACCTGTGTCTTTCAATTTGACTGATTTTGGGGCAGTGGGTGATGGGGTTACTTTGAACACTGAGGCCTTCGAGAAGGCTGTGTTGGCTATTTCCAAGCTGGGCCAAAAAGGCGGTGGTAAGCTTTTTGAACACTGAGGCCTTCCTTATCGTATTCTTTTAGATGGCTTTTGTGAAAAGACCCTACAATTATTAATCTTTTTTTTCCTGAAAATGATCCCTGCATATGGGTTTTCCAGAACCTAGAGGTTCTGGGCTTTGTTGGAATGTTAACTTATCACTGGAGATCGAGAAACTAGAAAACAATTCATGCACACAGTTATAGATGATATGCCTGCTTATCCCAGTGCCATGATCTCTAGAATAGACGAGGTATGTTTATATCCTTAGATGAGAATTTGACTTGAACCAGACTTATGTGGTGCTTCACCTGACCATTTAAATACATAAGGCTACTAGGAATCAAGCTTTGGAGCTGTTACACCTTCACCCCAAATACACATACCGGCATCATGTTATGGATTCATTCAAATTAGCATATAAAAATCTTTCATTTTCACCAAAAAAATAATTTGCAGTCTATGTGGCTTTGCTAATATTCTTTAGATCCTTCCATGATTTTCTCTCTCTCTCTCTCTCTCTCTCTCTCTCTCTCTCTCTCATAGACACACACACACACACACAATTCCTACACATCACTACAGTTATTTCTGATGATGCATTCTCTTTTGCGCATGACAGGATGAGAAGTATTGGCCTTTGATGCCTCCATTGCCTTCGTATGGGTATGGGAGATAGCATCCTGGGTCTCGGTATGGGAGTTTGATTCATGGTCAAAATCTTAAAGATATTGTTATAACAGGTAAGATATTTCATCCTTTCTCCTGTTGAGTTTATATGTTTAGTTCATAGCAGTACTGTTTAGTTGGAAGTAAGTAATTGTTTTAAAAGCTAATCTATGTGGGATCCAATTTGATATTAAACACCAATAAGTTTTCGTATGGTTGTTATAGCCTGTAAGCATGAATATAGCATTTGTTGAAATTTGTGAAAATCAAGAAAGATTACATGAGTTAGCCATCTTAGCAGTCAATGATGATTTTCTGTTGAACCTTGTAAATAAAAGGTTGATTAATAGTTTCCCGTTTCATTAACATTATTTAATTTGGTAACATTTAGATTTTCACCGTAGGTCTTCAGTTGAACCAAGTTGATCCTGATTGATCCTGACAATTTATATGGCAAAGACAATGAAAGAATTGGCAAATTATTTTTATGTTAAAAATGGATTGATAAAGCATATTAGTCTATTGTGATTGAAATACCAGAGGCAGGAAGTTGCCTTCATTTCATTTCTCGTCATCCACTTGACCATCATGTGTTCTAGGGAAGTTGATGATCCTAATTTTCCATTAGATCGCATAGTTTTCAAGCCTAGACATCTTTCTTGCTGGCGGTCATTTTTGCCATGGATACTTAATCAGACCATCTTGCTACAAGAGTAACATGTTGTGGCTGGTTTTATAACTTGCATACTTTGTATGTCAATCAGAAGGTAGGCGTATCCAGTGCACTCTTATGGACATTATTATGCACGTCTAAGTTGTACACTTCTCTTCTTTCCAAGTGTTCAATTTCTGACTTGTTTAATTATATTTATGTATTCACTGACCAACAGGGCACAATGGTACCATAAACGGACAGGGTCAAACGTGGTGGAAGAAGTACCGGCAGAAGCTTCTGAACCACACTAGGGGTCCACTTGTTCAGATTATGGGGTCTAGCAACATTTTGATCTGTAATATAACTTTGCATGATTCTCCTTTTTGGACACTTCATCCATATGACTGCAAAAATGTTACTATTAGGAATGTTACGATTTTGGCTCCTGTAGTTGAAGCTCCAAATACTGATGGAATAGATCTGGTAAGCGTATCCTACTCGGGGGGGTTTTTTCGCCCGACTTTATGTTTGATGTGCTGAATAATGCTATTCTGGCACTGGTGTATTTTGTATGGGTTGCCATTCTCTTTATTTATCCGTTGCAGATGAGCTTATAAATATTTAAATGCACCATTTGACACTAAAAAAAGATATTGCGTGACACAAAAGACATAAAGTGAAAAGTGAACTGTGCAGTTTACACTAAACGTTCAGAAATGCTCCAATTCTTAGGTTTCATAGTTTTGTTAACCAACTAAACAGGTTTGATCGATGAACAGGGAGAAGTCAATTGTGTTTTTGAGAGATGATGATTATAAAGGCTTGCCATGCTATTTGGTTTTCTTTGCCTAGATGTTGCATGGGTTGCTTGAGTATGGAAACCAGGCCACTTGGAGCAGAAAGAATTAAACTTAACATATATAATATTATTTCATCGACATCCTACCAACTTGTTAATTGTTAATCCTTTTTTCATGTCTGTGTGTATTAGAGAGAGAGAGAGAGAGAAGAATTTTCTTGTATGCCCC